TGGGCCGCCACTCGAACGTCGATTGCTTCTATCTCTGTCAGACGTACGCGAGGATACTTAAACATCTGATACGCGACAATGCGAATCTGCTGATTCTGTTCAAACAGGATGGTACCAACTTGAAACATGTTTACAACGATCACGTGAATACCGACATGTCATACGATGAATTCTGTGCGTTATGTCGCGATTGTTGGCAGCGCGAGTATGGATTTCTAGTGATAGACAAGGACAGTCCGCTTATCAATTGGCGACAGAAAGGAATTTAATACGTTCGCGGTACCGTAACGTGGTTAATCGATGTCGATACGTGGAGCAGGCAACATGGATAACACCAAAGATCGCGAGAAAATAGCGAAACAGATTGCGAAAACGAGCGATTCGATTCGCAAAAAATATCGCGCTTTAAAAATTGGTAAAATAGCTGAAGATACAGCGTTGGAGAAACGCTTCAAGCCCATCGTCGAACCTCTAAAACAGATTGTTGAAAAAACCGAGGAATCTCAATCAATTGAAAGAGAAGCAAAGGATCTCGGTATTAAGAAAAAACAAAAACGTGAAGACAGCGATAACGACAACGATAACGATATTACTACTACTACTGACAAGGATTCATATTGGACGGATGTTGGATGGTTGAAATTAATGCCGCAGTCTAAAAAACAACGTACAACGAAAGAATTGAAAGCCGCGTCAGATTCACTCGTGTTCGAGTCTACACTGATACAACCATCGAAAGATCCACCGAAAGAACCACCGCTGTTCCTGCAAAAGGAAGATGTTTTCGAAACAAAAGACGCCAGTGAACCGTCATTCGAAACAACCATCAAACAGAGTCTGCAAACGCAACAAGGTCGAGAAGCGTTGCATAATCAGCTGGGACCATTAGGGCAAAAGTACGTAAGCTCTCTTCTCGATGATAATGGAAAAAACGATACATTTGATCGCGTATACGGTGTTTATTTCGATAAAAACAGTGGTGCGATGCTTGGTGACAAGAAATTTGACGTTGACAAAAATGATTCCATAATCATAGACAATGTGAGATACAATGGTACACCAGGATTGTACGAATTGATCTTCAAGAGACTTCCCGATGATGCGGTTTTTACTGAGGATGACAAACATATAAAAGTATATTGTTAACAACAAATGTTCATAGACGTGGTCACAGCGCCCATAATCCCATCAAGGGCAATAGGGGATCCAAGTATATTAACATCATCGCTCCGCTCGTATTTACGTATGGAAATAGCGGGCGTAAAAAGGGTGCAGGCGTGAGCAATATACCAACCATGAAGTTAAACGACAACAAGATCGATTACGTGCATTGGGACGATCCCAACGAACTGGTGGATCGACTCTGATTGCTCGACGCTTCGCATCGAGTTGGTAACAACGCTCACGACAACGAGATGCTGTCGATCATCGAGGAACTTCGCGAAGCTGGCATTATTATAAATTAATCGCGTATCGACGAAACGAGCCAGTCGCTTAACGTTAGTGAGGAAAAAAACAATTTTAAATTGTATATCTTATTTACTATTAAACATCGTCGAAACATCATGCGAGCTGATGGACGTGAAAAAAATGTTAGCTCCGAGAGGCGACGACTCGTTGAGGAATTGCACGCTCCGGCGAGGAGAAATTTTCCGCGAAGACGTATCATAATTCGGGGATACAACGATCTGTGGCAGGCTGACATCGTCGAGATGCGTCCGTACTCGAATTTCAACAGAGGTCATCACTACATACTCACCGTCATCGATGCGTTGAGCAAGTACGTCTGGGCCGTACCGCTCAAGAGCAAGGTCAGAAGCGAGACAGCTAACGCTATCGCTAAGATAATTCGAGAGAGCGGAAGATGTCCGAGAAACTTGCAAACGGATATGGGCAAGGAATTTTACAATGCCGATGTGCAAAAATTCTTGAAAAAACACAACATTAATCATTATTCCACGTATACAGTGTTGAAGGCATCGATCGTCGAGCGATTCAATCGCACGCTTAAGAACGACATATGGAAGATGTTTACACTCAACGGCACTTACAAATGAGTCGACGCGCTACCGTGTCTCGTGTCAGATTACAACATGCGCAAGCATCGCACTATCGGCATGCACCCGTTAACTCCCGCGATCGCCAAAAGACTCTTGGATATGGTATACAGCGCGATAAAGATCGCAGGTCCAGCAAAATTCAAAGTAGGCGAATCGATACGCGTGTGCAAGTACAAGACAATTTTCGAAAAAGGTTACTCGCCAAATTGGACCACCGAAGTGTTTAAGATCGTTAAAGTGCAGCGTACTAATCCCGTAACTTATCTGCACGAGGACTATCGCGGAAAATCGGTCGCGGGCGCGTTCTACGAGCACAAATTGCATCGCGCGATTCATCCGGACGTGTATCTCGTGGAGAAAGTACTACGCAGGAAGAGAGACAAGGTTTACGTCAAGTGGCTGGAATAGATCGCATAACTCATGGATAAATAAAAGCAGTGTGATTTAATTCATTTTTCTTATTTTTATAATGTATTAAAAAATAAATATACACTATATACATGTATACAAAGAGTTGTTATTATTTTTTTCTTTCATTACATTTTTTAAACTATACATGTATGCAACTTACGAGACACATATAAAACTACATGTATTATAAACAATATATGTATTAAGCCGAGTATACATTAAATAAATCGAAGAGAGAATTAAAGTTAATTCCTCAGCAAGCAGGATCTTGATTGCTATTATAAATTTTATATAAAATAAATTTTATTATAAAACTACATATAAAAACTATAAAAAATACATACATCTATATTACATATATAACAGTATCGTATCGTATAAAACAGTATCGTATAAAACTACAAGAATACATATGTTCATACATACATAGATATGATACATAGGTACGTACATATATACATATGTGCATATATGCATATATATAAACTATATAAAAAATATGAAAATATATGTACATTGTATAACATGTATATATATATATATATATATATATATTACAATAGAATCCGCCAATCGTCCCCACGGTAACGTCTCCGTCGAATCCGGTACGATGTTAGTTTGTCGTCGTACGGACTCAGAGCGTATTTTCGACTCGGACACCGTATATACTTGATGTAGCTTGGATCTTATACACGACTGGCGACGAGTCATTTCGATCTCTTCATTCAAGCACCGCGTATAATCGTCGAACGTTATTGTTCGCGTTACGACGTTATTCTTTACACCTTTCACCTTTTTAATGTCTTTTCTGCCGTCCACCCTCACCGCGTACATCTTCTCTGAGTCCGACAAATTCCGTCATTATCGCACCGTTATTCTCATCCTTCATTAGACCGGGTACTTTTTTATTCGCGAGAGACATCCCGTACGCGTCGTCCGTCGGATAATCGCTCGTATCAAATCTAGCGATATCGCGTTTCATCGCCTCGTACACATTGTCGCACTGGATGTGGTATACGAGACTGTCCATGTCGGTGTATATGATCTTACATTTCTCGCGATACAGCGATGACATGTATTCGTGGTGAAATTCGTACAAGCAGATTTTCGATATGTCGAGTATGCATATACCCACGTAAATCGGCTTGTTGAATTTTATCTCGAGTGTACGCAGTTCGACGGCGATTAAGTTTTCCGCAAAGACGCTGCGGCTGTGGAAATTTGGTTTCGCAATCATTGCTTTCGCGCCATACCGTTCGTCCCATTTGGTCAAAAGTTTAACGTCGACGTGATTGCGCACATTTTCCATTGTTTTACCGAATACCGCGTTGTTCATTAATTTGTACAAATTTTTTTCGAAATCGTTTTTCGCGTACGTTCTAAAGTGTGTATTGAGTTCGATGTAATCGCGGAGCTAGGCGGATTGAGCAAATTGTAGTACGTGATATATCTTTGTGATACGAAGACCATGGCGCGTACATTGCTGCAGGTTGCGATAATGGATGACGTACCGCTTCTTATCGTCGCGAGAAGTTTATCCTGCCGCGTGCCGGGTGGTTTATCGCGCGTCGGACAGAAAGGTAGGTCAGTGTGTCGATCGTGCAAATGATGCAGATACTCGAGATCGACCTCGAGAATATAACCCGTAGACGAATCCTGAGCGATCGCGCTCGCGTCAAAGTTCTCAACGTCTTCCATCCATCGAAATTCGGCATAGGGCAGCGATTGACACATCGCCCATCCGTACAGATTATTTACGTCAAAGTACATAAGGTATGACGACGATTTTGACGGATCGTACGAACGCATGTATTTGTTATTGGCCTGCGCGTATCTGCCGGAACATTGAGACCGCCGCGTATACCGCGTTCAATAAACATAATCATATCGATGTCGGTGAGCAACTCAAATTTTACGTGCATATGTTTCAACATGGCGTCCAACGTGAAACCTGGCAATGTGTAGTAATGCGCGGGATCGAGTCCATAACTCGCGACGCAACTTTCGCGGAAATTTTCGAAAACGTCGGCTATTAACAAGATATCGATCTTGAGATATAGATCGCTGTATTCGCCGAGCGTTCGGATGGAGAACCGCTGCCAGACGTTTGCGGCGTGCGCGTAATCGTTCTCCGACATCGTGTCACCGAGCTAGAACGATTCGCGCGGTGGTAAGTGCGTGTCCTGCAGCTTGTCTGCGCGATCCACGTATTCGTACGGAAAGACACCTTGCGCGTCAACAAGTCAAAATCTTCGTTTGATATCGTGGAAAATTCGGAATGTAAAATTTTTAATTTTTCTTTCGTTAGAAAAGATGCTAATTTATCAAGGCTGATATTTAAAAACTTGTACGAATCTATGAACCGTAGGCGTACGCAATTTTGCGAATCTGATCTCTCGGTGGTATCTTGAACATGTTTTGTAAACGAAATATATTTTTCTTTTGTTATCGGCAGCACGTCGATCCTGCCTTCGAACGCCGTAGCTATTTCCGTGATGATAAAGTGCGCGTCATAACCGGATAAGTTGTGAAATATTATAGGAATGCAATATGAATCTTTATAATTTAGATTACAATTTGAGTGCGCGGGACCACGGTAACGGGACCGGTAAAATGGCAATGATCGCGTACCCGCGTGTCGTCCGACGCAAATGGTTTCTCGCAAATGTGACAACGCGTCGCGCTACGATATGCCTCCCACTGCTCTCTCGACAACGTTTCCATGGGGACATTCGTAGATAACAGAATTTTTACTTGATGCGCCAAATCTTCGAGTTGCCGAACGAACCACGCAACGCAGTCTTCGCCGCAACGAAATAGAAATACCGATAACGCGTCGTCGTACGAGCATCGCACGTAGTCCAATGCTAAATACCTCGTGCTGCTGGTAAGTGTACGATGCGTCTTCCCTCTCTGCCGATTCCGTTCGCCGTAATACGCACTCCAAGTCCGCGTAAACGAATGGAAGTCGTTCCTTATTCGTGTGGTTCTTGAATTCGAGTCACTTGTCGTCCTCGCTCGGCAGTCGGATGGCGCAATCGTTCATCTTTTCGCAGTCCGTTGTATGTGACTGCAATCTTTCAGACAAACTGAAGTAATGTAGGCATTTGCAAACGGAAAATATGATTTTTTTAATAAACAATTTTATAAGAGAATTTTATAAGAGAAATAATAAAATTTGTTAAAATACATACCGGTCGCAAAAGTATTTCTTATGTCCGTATTTATTCAGTTGCGAGCTCACAAGACGGGACAGATCTTTGATGTACGCAAAGTGCTCCGCAGTCGCGCGGATCCTGCACGTACAATAGATTTGCGTGCTTCTCCATTTTCCTTGATGTCAGCCGTATCGGGAGAATCTCCTTCTCCTTGATACCGTAGACGTTGATTGAGATGTCGTTGAGATGTTCGAACTTCTTAATTTGGTTCAACGTCATCGGAAACGTAATGTCTTGCAAATTTAACACTGTCGTATAATGCGGGTACGACAATTCCCGATTTGTATTTCTTTCAGCCGGATGCAGAGCCGCGATCACCGACCACGCGAAACACGCATTGTCCTTGGATCGTACATTGATCACCGCTCGCTTTAACATAATTTCCCGCGGTAATTCGATGTAACATTCCGCGTGCATTGAATTATATTTATTCACGTTTACAGTCAAATTTAGAATTCGCGACAATGCCCATCCACTGTCGCGTTCTTGGAATTCTTCGAGCGACGCCAACGTGGGTTCGATAACGTACTGCTCGTACTACTCGTCCAAATTTGACACTCGAAAGAGTTCACTATTTTTAGTGTTTATACTTTTGTTCGCGCGTCTATCGCTCGTCACAAACTCGCCGTTAAATGCAGTGCTTACTTTCATACTATCGTGTCTTTGTAGAATATCTCGCACTCGCTCGAGCACTACACCATCAGCGTCTTCTAAAAATTGTCGCGGCTCGATATAGTCCACATTGATCACCGCACCAGTCAATATACGGTTTTCAAACGCCGTATCGATTTCTCGCCAAATGAGAAATCCAGTGTCTCTACTCGCGTACTCACCACCAACGTGCACGAACGTTTTTCTAGTTGTACTTTTGCACCCGCGAGTAGCGCGATCCTCGCCACCGCAGATTGTCTATTTGCAACGGTGAGTCGAGAACGCTTAACACGGCTAACTTCCTCGAGTTGTTCGATGCACTCCTCACATCGTTGCAACCACGCGAAACACTCCACCAAGGTAGCGACTTGGCTGCACTGCTCCAGCAGCTCGCGTTCCACTCGCTCTAGGTGTTCCATATTGCAAAATCTTTCTTTAAATTGTTGTACTGTCTCATCAAAACAATTTTACATTTTTTTACTTTCTTTTTTCTTTTCTCTATAGCTGCTTTAACTCGAAGCCAGTATATAAAGCGTTGTATTTCCGACATGTCCGGAAATTGATGGGAATAGAACAACCATATATGATTATCCTCGCTTCTTGGAATTATCTCTGCTACTTTTTGCCGCGAGAGAGGTAGTAATATATTGTATGCGTGTCCTCTATAATGATAATATGTGCACGCTTCCAGAATTATTTCCGCTCTCTCAGAAGGAGCGGAGAAACAGAGAGTCGAATTGTAGCGTCCCTTAACTCTTGGAATCGGGAAATGGGGAGTTGGGGTATAGTGTCTCTTTATAAAATACACCGCCACGTTCACTGATAGATGAGAGATTGAATCCCATAACGGAGAACTTGTTAATTCTTCCAATGACCTTTCCATATTGTTTTTATATCACATCACACTCTTCCACTTGCATATGACTCGTTCACAATGTTGTCTTTTTTCAATTTGTGTAAATTGGGCACATGTTGCATGGCATTATCACACAGACGGACTGTTGGCAATTGGAGCAAAATCGGCTGTTTAGCGCATTGAGAGTATCTATCTCGTGCTTCCTAATGGCATATAATACTATGTCAGTGTCCGCCAGACGAATCATGCATTCGGCACACAGAGTTAGTGCACCACCCGTTGAATAATAAAATTGTATTGAACAATACTTTTTATTATTATTCAACGCAAAGAGTTCCGAACGGGTAACACTTTTTTCTGCATAATCCGTAAGGTCATCACTTTGATCACTTATGTAATTGCTATCGTCAGACAATGCGTGCTTTTCGTCTTCAATATTAATGTCAATATTGTCAATATTGTCAATCTCCATTTCTTCTTCATTTTCAAACACTTCGTCCACTATATTCACAAAGTCTTCCTCATCCATATTAAACACATTTTCTATATTCAATACATTATTCATTTTCATCGTCACTTATTTTTTTCACACACATTAGACTTCCATCTACTGTGATCCTGCACACCCCATGACCCATTATATATCATCGACAATTTCTTTGTCCCTTTGTCGGAGCATCATCATAGGTCTCCCCAATTTGTTTATAGCAGCCGGAGTATCGGCGCTTCTCTTGACACGCCGCGACACGTACGCCGATTTCCACGAAAAAAAAGCCATCATAAGTCTCCCCGATTTGTTAATAGTAACCGGAGTATCGGCGCTTCTCTTGACATGCCGCGACACGTACGTCGATTTCTACGAAGAGTTATCTTTTCGCGGGCTCTTCCTAAAAAAAATTTGAACGTCATCGCGCTCCTTTGCGAACATGTCGCTACATGTTTGATTACAACAATGAAATTCCTAGAAAAAAGGGGGAAGGGGGAGGGGGGGAGGTTAACGGTTTGCCATGTCAAAAATTTACGCGATCAGTCCTCCTCCATCGAACGATCTGCACGACAAAAAAGGTACTCCGCTCCTCCATCATTCGAACAACACGCAATGTATTCCGCTAAAGGAAGCAGCGCACCGTACAATGGCGAAAAACAAAAGAAGGAATGTAACGCGTAAGTTTCAACTGCATTTTTTTTATTTTTTTCTCTTTTTTCCAATATTGTGCAATATTATATATTTAATTTCCACAGTATTTCGATGGAGCGTCGCGCGGTGCGCTTACTGAGCAGACGTTACACTCTGACGGCCACGGGTTACAAATTTCTGGAAATTGGAATCAACGTTGGTCTACCGAGCTACGTGGAGATCGCTCTGGGAGATCATCGGGGATAGGAATTGATACTGTCTCTCGAAACGTGGAAGGGACTCTACGAGCAGCGATGGAATATCTATAAATTGCTGCGAAACGATTACAAAGACAATTTTATAAGCGTCGTTAACCATCAGAGTTTACCAGATGAACGATGTTACACTCGTACGTCTTGAATCTTTGAACGTACGCGTAACGATGATCGAATCGACCCTGCGCCGTATGTTTGATCTGGACGAATGTATCGATGTGACATTCGATCGACTCGTCAGATTCGTCGATACGATCGATACCAAGTATACGCGATTCTCCAACATCGCGTCTGTTGTAAGATCCCGAGGAAGTGCCGAACGCGATACGCGATTGCGATATCTTCGATAGACGTCAACTCGTCGATTGCGAGCTGTT